GAAAGCGTTTTCGCTCACGGCAAGGATCCGTTCTCAAGGATGATCTCGGCGCGCTCGCGCACGAGCTGGCTTCGTCTCCGTTTTAAACGCGAAAAGGTGAAAGTTGAGCGAGGCATCGCACTAGAGGCTTTTCATATTTAAAGGTCAACAACTGGTGGTCGACAATAACTGCGACGTTTCTTCCGCTTACGTGGCAATTTTATGCCAATTTCATCGGTACGTGACGGTATCGGAAGGCGGGGACCACCGTCCCGAGGAGCCTTATAATTTTTTTAATAATGCGCGACGACGAATTCGCCGGGGAACTGAATAATGTAACGATCCGAATAAAACAGCAGTGTTAGAAATTGGGGTCTAAAGAATTTTTAATTCGAGCTCATTCGCGAGAAGTCTTCGTTAATTCAGTTTTCGCATTAATATCTGAACGCTCAAAATCTCCTTTCCAAAATCCCGATAATTCAAACCCGTTTTATTAGTTACAACTTTGAAGCATCGATCATATTAATAATTAATTTAAATAGAAAATTACGCATACTGCGCATGAAAACGCTGATAGTCATCTATTATTTCGGCAATTTGTTCTTAATTATTTTAATTATTACCTCAATTTGTGCTTCATTATCTAGAAATTTCAATAATTATTTTAAGACTTTAATACCCCTTGAAATCAGATATTTAATTTTAATACGTGTGATTTTAATTCCCGATCTCTTATAATCCCTCTTCATTTAATTCTCGTTTTATTACCCCATTTACAATTTTAGTAACGTCACGAAATTAATTATTGACGAACAAAGGCACGCGGACCGAGGGGAATCTCGAAAAGCGACGAGTGAAGACAACGCGAAGACGACATGATGAACGGCGTTGAGTCGCTCGTGCACGAACGCCGCGCCGAACGGCTTCTAAGGAGCCCGGCTTCAGCGACCTCGTCGACGATTGTGCATTTCTCACTTTCTTTCGTGCAAGCGGTCCATTAATCGCCCCATATCCATTCACTGAAAGGGAAGTCTTAAAAGCGTCGCGCGCGCATGAAAGAAATATATATGTATATACATATAAGTATATGTACGCGCGTATATACGCGAGCGCGTCTCCGCTTTTCCCGCTATCTCGCGCGCCGACTTCTTTCGCCGGGAGAGCGGATTTTATAACGGTGCATCCCCGGCCGCGCGCGTTCTCGTCTTCTTCGCGTATCTCGCAGCGAATGCTCTCCGCGCGCGCGGGCTCGTTAATATCGTCGAACGAAAGTAAAAACTTTCATTCGCGCCGCGCTGTCGATGTCGTGCGTGCTTCCTAGGAAGAAGATCCCCGGCGGCGTTACGTATTCGATTCGCGTATATGTGCATCAGCAACGTGCGCCAACCAACCAGATATCGCGACTTTACGAGACGCTTGGATAACGCGTACTTTCGATATGTTGCCGGTACGGTTATTCCGCACTCTATCAGCGACGTTTATAGGCGTCCTTAAATCATTGGAAGATATCGCTTGCTACAGTTACGGCGGTAGACTGACGCGTCTCCGTCGTATCTCGGAATTGTAATTTGAAGCTGCATGCAGTATTTCACGACATTACGAGTCTATTCCATGCTGCATTTTGAGTGACGTTTCTTTATAAATCAATAAAACATCATTATTATTAACGTAGTATGGAAAATGTGTATTTTCTGCACAGAAAGAACGATTTTGCTAAAAATTTTGCTGGGTATGCAGATCTAAAAATAATTTTGTTAGAAACTAAAACATGATGAGCTGTATAAAACTTTTGCTAGAAAACGTTTTGATGTTCTAGCAACCAGTTTGAATTGCCAACAAAATTCTTATGATGGTTCTACAAAATTATTTTCAGATCTGTATCCAGCAAAATTTTAAGACCTTTCAGTAAAATCGTTCTTTCTTTGTGCTCTTGATATTTTATACATCGCTTTCTTCTCGCACTCGCGTATCTAAAAGCGTTCTATTATGGTAACTTCCTGAATTGCCTTCGAGAATGTGACGCTTAAATATATATATAGATCTGCATTTCCATATGTATATCAATTTGCACATGAACGTGAACTCCTTTTTAAGCATACCGAACTACTGCGCATCTGCGGAGTGACATAAAAATTATCATTTTAAGAACCTATACAATCTTCTTTCCATGACCGTCTATGGGGGAGGGGAGGGAGGGTCATTTCCTTTATAATCTCGTAGACTTTCATGGATCGCATGGCAAGTTGGAGTGGAGATTGACCGGTTGTTGCCCTACATCGCTTCAATTTTCTTTTGTTCCCTAATGCAGCTCGTCGAGTCTCCCCCTGGGGTTTCCTGCCCAGGGAATTTGATTGATTTGCTACGATTTCCGCAGAATTCCAACGGAGAGCCCGTTGATGCCGTCGGAAATATCTCCCCGAATAGATATAGATGTTTAAGGACCAAAAGAGAGAAGATTAGCTTTTGGTCGGTGAAAGTGCGTCATTACGATGCTCCGTCGTGATCGTGTCGTTGTACTTTGCTTAAATTACATTGGAAATGAGATGCCCATCCGACGATTTCCACGGTAATTACGAGGTCTCCCTGTAACGAAAACCATAGGCGGCAAAACCATTGTGGCGATTGTGGTGACAGAAAGAAAGCAAAATTGTGGAGAATAATTTCACATTTCCTATAATTCCGCATTAATCGGAAGCTATTTCTTGAGCGTTAATAGACTGTAAATTGACTCCCGTTCGCGCAATTTTGCAAAATAAATAAGAAAGATTCTATTCCATGAGATATTCTATCCGCGTAAAATTTGAAATTTATGATATTATTGTATTCTATATATAGAAAGTTCTGAAGCAAAAACTTGTGAATTTCATTCATTAACATTTAATTTGGAAAAATAAAAAAATTAATTAAGCTATAATTAGTTTGTAAAGAAGAAACATACAAAAGATTTAATCAATAAGTAATCTACTTAAGATAATACATAAGCAAATATTTCTATAATACATTAAAGTATTTTTTATTAATTTTTACACACTTTGATAATTAATTATTGATATTTTTACTTTAATTGATTTGATGTTAAAATAATTTGATGTTAAAGAATTTAATACAAGTTTTTTTGCTTTAGAGATAATATAAAAATAATCTTTACCTTTTTACATAACATAAAACAACTGATAATGCCAAGGTGGTGACTAGACGTAATCTCATTATTGATAACATGACTTCATACCATATTGTGAAAAGGTATTGTGAAAAGGTGGTAGTCGTTAGCCGAAATAGCTCAGTTGGGAGAGCGTTAGACTGAAGATCTAAATGTCCCTGGTTCGATCCCGGGTTTCGGCATCTTTTTTTATTTTGCTAAACGTAATCCATCAGAAGTACAGAGAAACCAGTTTCATCATCATTTCTCAGACGGTAGCCCGCAACGAGCCGAAATAGCTCAGTTGGGAGAGCGTTAGACTGAAGATCTAAATGTCCCTGGTTCGATCCCGGGTTTCGGCAAGTGTTTTTTTTAGCTATTTAGATGATTTATGTGAAAGAGATGCACTCGGACTTGTATTTTTATCGTGAAGAAATTGTCAATTAAAAATATTTTATTTTACCTTTTTTTTATATTTTTGAACATAGTATATTTCTGGTGTTTGTAAAAAAAGCAGCGAATGCTTCAATTAAATTACATTTTCCTTAAGATCCATAATTATATTGTCTAAACGTGACGTTGGAGCATTTCGAAGAGCTACGCGAAAGATTGGCTTATCAAGAAATAGATAATTATAAATCTTTTCTTCCCTCTAATTAATTTATTTGACCTTTTAGTTAAATATATCCTTAAATAACGGTTATTATTAAATTATTGCGTATACGGATCGAAATCCTCTCGATTATCCATATAGCGGTCGACCTAGCCCCAGGCTACGATTGTATCATTCGCGTGAGTAAGGACGCGATTATATCGATAATAATGGCCCTCGATGTAAAAGTCAGCGAGCGTAATTCACGATTCAACGACCTGTTCATTGAGCATAAACTGGCGGAGTATCCGCGTATGTTATACGTTTGGCGTAACTGCATTACACGCACAAATTGCAATTATACACGTTCATCACGCTTGTTTCGTGGTGTGGCAAGATATTTGACACGGCTGACACATTATACGTGTCGCAATCCATTGTACGTTAGAGGTATTGGCGTTAAACCTTTGGCGTTTAACGGATTATTTATTACAGAGTATTTCAAAATCGGCGTCGCGCCTCATTCCATCAATCGAATCGTGCTGACAACTTTTTCCTAATGCCGAAGACACAGGGATTCCTCTTGAAGAGCGCCTGCCTCATTGCGAAATACGCAAATCGCAAATAAATTGCAGTTTATTAAATATAAGACTCGAGATGATTCCACGAGATGATCGCGCACGTCGAAGTACGTAAATGCCCGGTTTGCGAAATGTCGATGCGGGTGTCTCTCTCATCAGTCATTTTCGCGTGTCTCGAACTGGAACGACCGTTCCATGTTACCTAATGCCGTTGCATATTTATCGCGATTAATTAATACGCCCGTTCCAGATTCGGGCACTTCGATCTGCGAACCATGCTTCCTATGCGCACGCGTTTCCCTCCTTCGAAATTTCGAGCGATATGTGACTGCATGCCTTCTCTTATCTATATACGCTTATTACCTCATCGACCGATATTGCCTGCGGGAAATTCCGAAATGTGGCGTGCTTCTGGAACAATTATCTCTTAATTAGATTTCTGCTTCGGGAGCGTATATGTGTTTCGTGCAGCTCCACTACGCATCGATGCGCTATCTTCGTTTCCGTTCCACTTAACATTTCGTCTGCTCCACGGGGAAATATCCCGTGGAAATAATCGATATTTCTATATATTAATAATTCGTACATTTATAAGATCTCATTTTCTTTTATTGTGCTGATTTCAGAAATTTTTCAGACTGAAAATTACATCGTTTAACGAGCAATAATATCGCCATATCTCGCTCAATAAATTGTGTCTTGTTTACAGAGTCGTGATTGACGATCTACCAAACATGTTACGCCTCGTGATTCTTCTATTTCTGTGTAAGTATACAGTTCAAGTTTTTATTTTTAATTAATATCTCAATATTCTGTATTTTCGATAAACCAATACTATTGAAGAATCGACATTTATTCCAAACAATTCTAAATAAGATATAGCAATGGAAATAATATTATATAATTATATAATGTTATAATGGAAATAATATTATAAAATTATATAATAATAAAATGTAGACTTTGTTTTATTTTATTATTATGTAATATATATAATAATAATATAAAAAATTATTTAATTTATTATTACATAATATAAAATAATAAAATAAATGATTCCCATATATACTATGTCATTAGGATAATTCTTTATTGAAAAGTTAGATTACGAGAAATCGTAACAAACAATTTTTTAAATAATACATTTTTTTATAATCTGAATTTTTTATATACCGAGTTACAAATATTCGGATTATTTAGTAGAAAAACGACGCGACGTGCGTATTGACGTTAGTGAAGACAGCAATGAAAGAAATAAACAAGTGTATTTCACAGCCATGTCCCTCGCGATTCGCGGGCTTCGTTCTTCGAAGAATCAATTCACCCGCGATGAATCGGCGGAATAAAAATTCCTCCTTTTGAGCTCGCACGCATTGATGTCGTTCTCTTTTTGTCGTTCTTTATCTTCCACTGGTCTGGCATTTAGAGGATCGATGGGAATACGGGAATACAATCGGCGAAACGGCATTCACTGGCGCACCATTCTGATGATCATTGGCCATCAGCGGTGGACACACCGATTAATCTCCACCGCGTCGCGCCGGTCTGTGCGGGGATTACTCAATATTTTTATTTATTATTTCTCTCTTATCGCCGCTGCTCATCCGCGCTGCTGGCCGATAATTACGGACCAATCGCGTAGCCGTATCTCTGGCAGCGTGGGAGCGCCGTGGCATCCTGTCGCGCGCGGATAAAGTCAAGGATTCGCTTCCGCGGCGAAGGTGAATCCGATGTAGGATCGCTCGGCCCGGGGATTTATTGCCGTTTACCTCCTCGCGCTTCTCTTCTGCGTCGAGGAGCAGCACGGTACAATCTGCGGTACAAGAAGATCGATGTTGTTGACTCACCGACCATTCACGCGGCATTTGTCACCGCGCTTGTCGTTGCCTCTCATCGCGGAAATATGGAAATTTTTATTCTCCTTCCCGAGGAATTTCCGCCGTACAAAAGGCTTTGGGGAAACGGCATGCTTAAACCACGCTTCAAGGAAAATCATAATAAGTGGTCGACTTATATTTATTAATAAGCTGTATTGATTTCTCGATGAAATATTGAAGTTGGAATTGTTAGGGATATAATACATCTCATTACATTATTAAAATATTCCTTATAATGAAAGGCACTTGCCTGTCGATTGTTTATCAATTTCTCAAAGATTGACTTAAACGTAACTTCAATTTATTTTACACAATCCTGGCGGAAATTTAATTTTATCGCAGGTGATTAATAATTCTTTCAAATAATGCCAGATAATGCAAAAATAGACATAAATGAACAAAGTTCATGCAAAGAAGTAATTTCTAATAATAGAAAAAAAAATTCAGGAAGACATAGAAGAAAACGTTAGATTTAATGAACAATTCTTTATACCGTATTTTCAGCTCTCTGAAAAATTTCATGCGCCGCGTTATTGTTGCACAAGCTCGTATCTTTATACAGTAATTTATAACGTAATGGAGAGATATATTGGATTAACTGGAGGAGCTACTGAATAACGTTTGAGAAACCTCTCAACGTAGCGAAGTAGAAAAGTTCACGACTACTTCGTTGGAAAACGCGCGATTCGATATCCGGGACTTAGTGCAAGTATGCGCGGAAAATTTTTCATCGCCATGAAAGTTCGTCGCTTACCTTCGCGAAACTTTGCACGTTTTCCACGATCTCGTAAAGAATTTCACGGAGCAAGTTGCGACTCCGTCCGTATCACTTTTTATCCGTCTTTATTACTCTGTCGCATCTCCTTCTTTCTCCTTCTGCATTTTCCAATAATGTTCCGTATGGTTTTATATTCAGCGTCATTAAGTACCTTCTGCCGGGATCTCACGGTGTTTGAAACGTCGCTGACGGATCGGATATAGTCAAACCATTATTAATTCCATCCGAAAAGAATTACTTTTCACCGACGATTAGATATTTCTATGAGGCATTTTCAAACAGCTTATCAATATTATAATGCTTGGGAACGGTAAAATACATGGAATCGCCTTCAGTTATCATCCGTTATTGAATACCGTGCGAACTTCTCGTATTATCGGTACGTCAAACAACATGCAAACAACAAAGTGACGATGGCCCATCGACCTCTGACTTGAGTTTTTACGCTTACGTAACGTGTCATAGGTATCACGCGCTTTCTCCCAACTATAAATTCTTTGGTGAGTTTTCCCGCAACTCATTGCGATTGAAAGTCATGATCTTCTGCATTCCTGACAATTTTCAATAAAAGCGTAATCAAGATTTGTAATCAAAATTTAATTTAAAATTTTAAAGATTAATTTACAATTAATTCGATGAAGGGAAACGTCACTACAAACAAATATTATGATCGGAGTTTTTTTCAGACGAGATAGTTCAGATCAAATAGTTTATTAAATAACTATTTTACATTTTTAATTGTAAAGAAGATTTTTCAGACCCTCAAGTGTTATCTGAAATATTTAAGATATTGAAATGTTATTGTAAAAAGCAGAGTTAGGATATCAGTATAGATACATACACTTTTTTAGTTCTTATAGATATTTATTTTTTGTAATATCCTATGTCTGTTAGTGTAACGTCATTCTCAATACTACAACATCCAATATTCAAGCACTTAAAAAGAATCAATCAAATTCTGTTGCCATCAAATACATGAAACATCGATTGCCCTCCGGTACAACAGAATCCAATTATTCATGAGCCAAAATGAAGTTTGGCAAGATCGATGTAATGTTCTCGATATTAATTTAGCTGTTGATCCCTGTTCTACCGCGGGTAGTTCTATGCCGAACGCGATTCTGTGTCGAGAAAAAAAAATCGCGACATGTGCAATTCTATCATAATACCTCCACGGGATTATACGGGTGTATCGACCGTGCGATTCTGCCGGTATGCTTGTCGTTGATAAAGCTTCTTTATTCAACAGCGAAAACAGCGACGATTGCCCCGCCGCTCGTATATTTTCACAATGTCCCGTTTCCAGCGCGAAAGCAGCTATACAAATATGCCAAATGGTTGCCATAGGGCGACTATAGAACGTTCGGATTAGGCAACTGCGTCTCGCTGACCTAATTTCCCGTAGAGCGAGACGCATGATTATTTAATCTTGAACTCTAATCCGCGCTTCCGACTTTCAGGTATCGCCGCTACTTACACGCCTGGCCACTGCGAGACAGGGGTAAGTGCGCTCCTTTCCGCGTTTTTACTTTCTTTTTATATTATTTGTACAAAGTACTAAAGAGTGTAAGAATAGCCGTGTAGTTTTAGTCATAAGAGGTACTAGAGGTAGGTATTATCTTCTCCTTAAATCTGATTGAAACTGGAAATAATCTGAAATTTAATCTGAAATTTTGTAACTGTAGTTTTGCTTCTACGTAACTTTCAATGCCACTCTTAATTCCATAAAAATGTCAGTCAATTTATCACGCAGTGATAATTTCGGTACAATCTCTCCGCGATTCTCTATAAGTTTAATATTAAGTTTTCGACTTTTCCATAAAGTTGCTACGCGGATGATGAGGTCTTTATATCCACAAATTATCCTTCCCGCGATGTTTCCATAGATTCGCCGGGCGCAAGCTTCGCGTCGGTTAGTTTAGAAACACCTTGGAATATTTATCGCGGATTTTCTTAATTTTCTGCAAGAAGTATAAGTGACCGAACGATGCTCTCGTAAATATTCAAGTGGCGCTAATCTCAAGGCTCCGAGCGGCTCCAATCAGGCGGGCACTTTGGACGCCGAAGTTAATTAGCGGCTAAGTAATTAAAGTCCCCCGCGGCTCTTATTTCAAGCAGTGCAATTTAACTTTCGTAGAATTCCGCACGGACGGTGTACGCGCGACGGTTATTGCGACGATTTACGGTTCGCGAGCAATCGATTCGAGGGAGGTGAAGCGCGCGCGGTCGCGCGGGACGCGCGCTTCGGGCGCGACGCGCGACACGGACGCGAAATTTCCAACCGCGAGCGTGACGAAATGTTACGTTACGAACGCTCTTTTCTCATCCCTGCAGATGTAACGCGGATTTTAATTTACGGGAGCGCGAGATCTAATTACAGAGCCACGAGTTACGCGCGCGGGCGCGCGCGCGCGCGAGCAAACGGGCGAGCGAATTCCGTTCCGCGGTACCGTGAAAAATCGCTCGCAGTGGTATTACGATATAACGCTCCCGCGAATGTCGCTTTGAAGTCGCCGTTAACGTTTGCTAATAAATACCGACAATGGTCAATACTCGCGACGCACCGGTTTACCTGTTAACCGTGATTTACGCGACGCGTAGGTGTAGGTAACGGCGACGGACTCCCCTCTTCCTTCATCCCTCCCGCCGTCCGCGTGCTCAACAGCGAAATTTAATCAAACTTTCGTTTCCCGAGGGAGAAGCGAGTTGCAATATCGAATTTCATCGTGTGCAGGATAACGCAGCGGCGAGCGCTCGTTCGCATTTTGTGCGTCGTATCGTCTCGCGTACGCAAAATCAATAGCGTTTAATGCACTCATCCGCGGCTCGTTCAAACGTACGCGAATGCATAAATTCATTTTCCTAATTACCAACTTCAACGGTGTGACGCGTATAGAAAAAGGAATAGGAAGTTTCACGACTAATTGAGACGCTGTTTTTTTAACGGGATAATATCTCCGATAATACAGCTTGCGGCTAAATCCACAAATTTATTTTTTTATTTTTTTTTTGCGAATTGCATCGTTCGGGAAAAAAGATATTGCAAATATTGGAACGAATTGACAGCTGATTGCTCGGCATTGTACGTCCTCAAAATGAGATCCAAACTAAAAATATTGTAAATAAAAATTTTTTTCTAAACGATTTTACATTAACGTTATCAGTATCTGCAATCTTAATTAAATGTTGATTGGATTACAAGATAGCGTCTATAAGGATGCAAGCATTGGGAGAAAAGTAATCCAACAAGAGCAAGCGCTCTGTAGGACGAGTTGAAAGTAGCGTACCTTCCGAGAGACCTTGCGGAAACTCGTCATCGCGAGCGCCTTTCTGGAAGTAGTTCTACATTCTGAGAGCGTATTACGTTGCAGGCATCGCGAGATGTCGAGCACGCGGGACTGCCAGAGTTCCTCACGGAATTGGACCTGTCGAGTCTCGAGGCATCCGAGGAAGACGTCGAAGCGCTGAAGAAAATCGTGAAAAGGCTGGCGCCCGAAAAGAACGGCGAGTACCAAGTTTACCAAGGTTCTCTCACTGTACTGTCCTACTAACCTCGAGACTACATCGCTAATCTCTTTTTCCTTTCCGACCTGACTAAAGCGACTCGCTTTTTCTTCCATTGCCAGTCTTCTTCGGAAACGAGGATCTCCTCAAGGAGTGGCTCAAAGGAGCGGGTATTATTATACTTAAAGCGTTTTTCTCCCCCGTGCATGCTGCGTCCCTCTTTGATGTAACCGTTCTTATTCGCGCATTGGACTCTTTTATTATCGTTTGCAGAATAAACTGTTTAACATCGCGTTTAAAAACCGCTTTGATAAAAACTGTTTATATAAAGTTAAACAACAAGTTAAGTGTCCTTTAAAGAATGTTGAAAACTCTTGAAAACTTCTATCTGTAACTTCATTCCGTTGCTTGTTAATTACTTATTAATCCCTGCAAAGTTTTAAGCGAAATCGTGGACGGGCCATAAAGACGATCGTATAAATACGGATGAAAAAGTTGTGCATAAATATATATTTCTTTCGCTCGTATTTTTTTTATCCAGGCATAAAAATAATATTTGCTTATTCCAACATTTCACTCCCCAGCGCTTCACGTATTATCTTTACCCATGTATATATTTGCATTCTGCATGTATATTTGTCTTTCGCATGTAGACATAACGTGCAGTCATACGAATACACTTCTGCCAAGTTGTGCATCTGTGCAAATATTTACCGGAAGCTTCTACGGTAAATTCGGAACACCCCATACATTGCAATATCGTATACTCGCGCAGAAGCGAAAATGAGAGCATCCCAGATATCTGTGTGTGTATGTGTGCGTGTCGCTTCGTCTTACCGAAGCGTCAGATATTACGTAAAACTGTGTAAGCGAAAGTCATTGAGTGCGTGCGACTATCTCGGGGCGATCGGACTGCGTTTCTGCTTTCCCACGAGGTGCAATTTTTCGTTTTACGATGATTGTGCGCCGGCGCTTCGTGACTTTCCACTGAGGTGACAGACTTTCTACGGCGGTGCTGGTCTAGCCGATCTGCTATTTCTCTAAACGTGACGTAATTACATTGTTACGTCCTGCTAATTAAATTTTCGAAACGCGCGACGCGCGTTAACGGATACCGACAGATAATCTATCGCTCGTTTATCATCTTTCGCACGAAGCGATATGATGGGGGATCTTTGTCAATGGCCTCGACAGTGTGTGCTATCGGGGGTTTGCGTAAAATTCTTCATGCACGGAAAAATCGATGGCATAACTCGCATGGCTCTGCAAACGATTATGTTGCGATGTTCGTGTTTTAGAAGCACGGCCGTGAAAAAGGCGGGATAAACGTCGGTAATGCCGCGTTGATGTAACAAGCGCTATAAAATTTAATAACACTCCACTTTGTACTCAGGCGTGACGGGACAGCCCGGGGTGGATTATCCAGCCCTCACGTCGATTCCAACCACTTCATTCAGCTGTCGCGGTCTGAGAGGGGGATATTACGCGGATTTAGAGACAAATTGCCAAGTAGGTGACATCGATATTTATACGTACGGCACGGCTCGTTCGATTCGAACAAAAGTCACGCGGATTGATGCTCAATCCAGCGATTGCTATAGTTTCGGATTATCAAAATTCCGACATTTTTAGAAAGTCTGCAAAAAGTATAAATATATTAAATGACAAATTAAAAAGTTTGGGAAATGGAAGGAAATGAAGAAAAAATTTTCTGTTCAATATAATTTCTGTACAAAATTGCCTTTGGAAGAAGTATAAATAATATTTATGTATAAATAATGACGCTTGTAGCGTTGCTACAGAGACTTCACGGTTAATGATACACTTGTCACCGAAACTGAATGTAATTTCAGGTGTTCCACATCTGCGACAATGGACGCAAGATCTCGTTCCTGTGTCCCAACGGCACTATCTTCCAACAATCGCAACTTATATGCGACTGGTGGTTCAAAGTGGATTGCAGCAGGTCCACGGAATTGTACGAGCAGAGCGCCGAGCAATTGGCCGAGGAGGAGAAGAAACGTACGGAGGCGAGAAAGATGAAGTCCGAGTTTCATCGCGCGGCGGAGCAGCAAAATAATAACGCGGATTACTACGAGAACGTCGACTACGACGGTAGACAAAACGGCAGAACGAATCCGTACGGTCAGCCCGCCGCCAAGCAGAATCAGATCCCGGAGAGGCAGGACGAACCGAAGTCCAACCAGCACTTCGGGCCGAACAACGTTTTCGATAACACTCGTGGTTCTGGTCGCTATTTCCAAGACAACAACGCGAACGCGTTACGGGCTAACGAGAAGACGAGCCAGACACCCGAGAATTACGATCAGTCGTCGAAACAGCGACAATATCACAACGGTGGATCGAATTATCAGGCGTCCAATAAGCAGAGAAATCAGCTAGATACGCAGAACGGCAAGTTCAACTACGATCACAGCAATAAGTTCCAGGACAGTCGGCAGAATTATCAGAGCAACACAGAAAGGCAGGATCATTATCAGTCCAATCAGAATACGCCGCGCAACAACGAGAAGCCGGCGTTCAATAATCCGAAATCGCGAACCTCGACGCGAAACAATCTGTTCGGTTCCAACCAGTCGCAAAAGGCTACGCCGACGTACATGGAGACGACGACCTTCAGAACTACAACCGCGACGCCTCCGAGGGAGTACCAGCAGTTTGCGGAAAGCGCCGCGTTCGTGTCCAGCCGGGGAAATCGCTTTAACGCGGCCAAATCTGAGAACACTCGACAGTATTATTATCATTCGTACGATTATCGAGATCGTACCACCACCACCACCGCTGATTACCGTGGTCACGAGACGACGACCACCACGACCACCACGTCCGCGCCGCGGAGGAACGAGGAGAGCGAGACGGTGTCCTTCACGCCGAAAACGGGCGCCCCGCCGTATCCCGGGCCCACATACGCTCCTATCTACAAGGCCAGAACGACGACGTTACCACCTTACGAAACAACGTTGCAGTACACGCCGACGACCGAGACGTCTTATTACAGCACTCCCTACTACGGGCAAGGCGACATTCCGGAAACCACGTACGCCAATGCCGACACGTCGACCGTGACTTCCTCCGCGGAGGAGTACCCGACTACGTCCTTCACTACGTACAGCGATCTGCGGACGCCCGCCGCGATAGGTAGAGTGCCACCGGCCCGCGGGAATTATCAGAGTCAGCAGTACGTTGATAACAGGGTGACCGAACAGAGAGACGCCGACACCTCTTTCGCGACTACGCGTCCGTACGTGAATACGGAGAGCTACCGGCACAACGCCGCCAACGTCACTGCGACCGTCAGTCCGGACCCGTTTCCCTCGTCGACGCCGTTTTACGGAGACTGTCGCGATCAAGTTCACTCCAATTGCCAAAACGAGAACAGTATCACGAACGTCGGGCCCAGAGGTACAACGGGGGATCCTTGGCGCGCGACTTTGCAAAGCTTCCAGCAGAATTCGATCAGCTCGACCGAGAAGCCGTGGAGAAGCACCAACGGTTATCAGCAGAGTGGATCCACCAGTAAGACCTTGAGCCCTTACGACACCAGTTTCACGTACAAGCAGGGGAAAGTGCTGTCCACATTAGGCCCGTATATACCTTTCACTAAAAACTACGTTTACTCCACGATGACCACCACACCGACGCCGAAGCCGCCGACCACCGTGCCGATATACAGCCCCACCACAAATTATCGCGTCACGACGGGTAATTTGATACCCAAGGTGAAATCGTTGCCTCCAGTGACGAGCAGGCCCAAGCAGGACAGAGCGACCTATTTACCTGAGGTTGGCAGCAAACCGCCACCATCTTTGGAGGATAGACCGTACGCCGAACGGGAACACGCGCTTAACATGTTGCATTCTCTTCAAGGTCTCGAAAATAATGTGGAAAATCTGAGCGAGATCGGCGCGAAGGATGGAAATAATCGAAACGGGCCCTCCGCGCCCGGCCCGTCTACCTTGCACTCGTTAGCTCTGTACTTTGCCACAGCCGGCGACAATCTCGACTCGAATGAGACCATCGAGTCTACCGCGAGCGTCGAGGAGGCCGAGGGTACAGAAGGGAATCACTCGGATAACTCGTCCGCCGAATTACCGACCAGCATTCTCACGCAGCACACCATCTCGTCGTACGTCGAGCTGTTCAATCTGAACAATGCGCTCGAAGGGAACGCCACGACGGCTGAATTCACGTCATCGGAGGCCGATGACGTTGGCGGCGAGGTGAACGACGATCTGGAGATCGAACAGAGCGAGGGTCCAGTGAACGGCGCGAAGAGATCGAACAGCACGAAGCTGCGCGAACTGGCCCAGGTCTTCACTCACGCTCTGTCGGCATACCTGCAGGATCCGGACACCTTCAAGAAGGTGCTCACGGAAATCAGGCCCACGCAACCACCGGCGACGACCACCGATGACAGTCAGTTCGAGGTAACGACGTTGTATCCGACCACGGCGGAAGAGTACGCATCGGTGACCAAGGAGAAGGATGAAGTCCTGGATTTCTCGGACGATACCGACGTCACCAGAAGGCGCAAGCCGTCCACGATATTCCCCACTACCCTACAACCACCGACTGTCACCACCGACAGATCGTATTCGACTTACTACACGACGCCGTACGATGAGTATTACACGACTTCACAGAGCCAGACGCGAAGGCCAATTTACTATCCGAGCACGACGTTGTTACCGCCCAGCGCTTCGTCATACGACTCGAGGGATTACGACGAGTCGTCGACGCAGGGTGGTAATACGTTTGCCTTCGAAGTGAATCGTGTGTTTACCACCACTGCGAACGATATTCAAACCTACGACGGCGATACGAGAGATTCGACTGATTCATCGATCTATGATAATTATTTCCCACTGGACGACGACGGAAATCGAAATAGGATCGGTGGCTTCCAGAATAACACGGCGGGAACCTTCCAGCCTTACGGTAAAAACGTCAAACCGATCGGCGCTACGCCTATAAACAATTACGCGGCGTCGTCCACGGTGGCGTCTTTTCAGAATCCCGGAGTAGGGACGACGCCCAGCTGGGGTAGAGGCTCGGCTGGCGATAAACCCGTGCAAAACCTCACGCCGCCTCATTACGATCAACACTTCGGTAATGTGAGGAGCTTCGAGGTGTCGAACAGCATCCAGTCGGTGCGCTCAACGACGCCGTTGTCGAGAAGCAAATCTACCTACGACACCGCCAGCAGCACCGTAAAGCCATTCAGGATACGTTACTACGAATCGACGACAGCACCGTCCGAGTCTCTCGCCACAGCTCGCAGCTCGTACGCGAAGTACAGGAACAATTACAAGCTTGAGGGCAATCGCGTGGAAGGCACTCGCAAGCCCACGACGGTGCCGACGACAATTCGGGACGATGTCGAGATACTGGATCCCGTCACCGCGACCGTCAGCGACGTTACCCCGTACACCGCCACCGTTACTCGCGCCACCTCCAACAAGCCCGCGGACGCGACCACGAGACACTCCAATCTGCTGAACAACGATCACTGGACCTCTTCGCCCATGGTCACCCAGCTCTGGGAGACGACGGTGTTCGTGGATCCACGGCACATTAATCACGGTCTAGAGTCGAACGTCGGCGTCACTCAGCCGCCCGATACGACCGGTAACGCTATTTACGAGGAGACGGAATCGACCGTGGCGGCGACCACCACGAGATCGCCGACGCTGCCCGTTGCAGATCCCGACGCGACGACGGAACCGCGGACCACCAGCACACCGAGTCCTTGGCAATGGGCGACGAGTAACAACGATCCACCCGTGACGTTCACTCTGCTGCCGACGACCTTCGCCGCGGAGAACACGGCAACGCCGACTCCGATCATCACGACGCGGTCCAGCATAACGACCACGATCACCTCCTCGGTAACGTCGACCAACGGCGTCTCCCGGGAGAACCTGTCGTCCACTCTGCTGCCATTTGCGGCGGGCAACGCGCTGAACGCCAGCGAGAGCGAAGCGATCAAGGCTCACGAGATGTTCGGCAACCTCAACGAGACGAGCTCGAACACGTTGATGCGAGTGATGAAGCAGGCCGATAACAACACGACAGTAAGACAATTGGTGCTATTGCTGGTAACCCATTGCAACGGGCCGAAAAACAAGACGCTGGAGCAGGAGAAGGAGCAACTGCTGGACGCTCTTCTGAGGTTGCCCGTTAACGAATTCAGTTCGGAAGAATCGCGAGAAATTGTCGCCGGCATCAACAGATTTAATCTTTCGACTAGTACGTATTACACTGCACATTTAATAATGATAGTATTTAGGTATGTAGAATATTTTATGATAATATTAATTTTAATTCTACTTATTTTAAAATATCATATTAAAGTAATAAAACGGCCGTTTATTAAAGTAATAAAATCCAAATAAAAAAAGGCTTTATTTGGATGAACATCAAATATTAAAAACTTAGGTGGATGTACTTATTACTGTCAACGATTAATTTCAGTCATGTATATTTGTAATTATTCCAAGATGTAAGCAATCACACAATCTTTGTTTTATTAATGATTATTTTTTACGGATTATCTTTAACGTAATAGAGTTAATCTCATTATCCACCTTAACGTGCGCGCGAAATAATAAATTTAAAATTAATATAATAATTAAAGGATTCCCAGAAATAATAAAAAAAAAATAGAAATATCGTAAGCTAATGGGAATCGGCGCCGTAATTGGTGCACAAAGTTAAACAAGTGATTTAACGTAAATTCATAAAGCGTAAATAAATATATTTCCAAACGTTTCGTATAATAATAAATATAGTAATGAATTTGATAGGTTTAATAGTGGCAGAAAAATCTTTATTTTTTTAATATGATATTTCTTATTCCTACGATGAATATTAGACTTACTTGGACTTAAAAAAATACAAAATATCGCTTATTTTACACAAAAAATGATATTACATTACTTCTTTACCTTATATTTTACGATTTGCTAGACAACGCAGATTAACTATTTATTTATTACTTTGTAGGTAAATCACGAGCGACTTTGGCAAATTCCACAACGATGAGGACTCCTCGAGCGTCGTCCGTGAGACCCACACCGTCTGTACCATCCATCACCACATTTCGCAGTAGGACGGGACGAAAATTTCGTACGACCACCGAGAATACCAACGTTCTTGTCAGAAGATCGGACGATGCTGTCTCGGAGACAAATAATTCCTTGTCGGAGAACGGGGCCACCGCTTCTGACGGCCGCGCCATCGAGCTCCTCAGGTCGCTCTACACGGTAGCCGCTAAGTGGGGCTGAGAAGCCGCACAATCGACGACCGATCGGAACTACGCGCGCGTCGGAAGACTCGCGAGATGAAGATCTCGCTGGAGTATCAGAAGACGTCCGCCTGTCAATACGTCGGAGTAGATCGTTGCTGTTATTCATCACCGTGTCCACTCCGCCTAGCCTAAATTCGAAGGTTTAAGCTCCGTACGGTGAATCGGTTTTGATCTCGGCCCATCAATCGACGTCCACGACGAAACGGGAATCTGCTCTACGAGCGGATTTCTTCGCGAGAGACCGCCGGGACATCGTAATTCTTGTCTCGAATATCATCGTCAGCAGAAGTCGGCAACATTGAGTTATTATTGATTCTGGAACTCTTACATTATTAAATTCCGACTGCTATACCATTACACTTGCATGCAGTACTGTAGGAAAATTAGATTTGGAGCCGACGAGTCGGCTTCTTCGAACTCGAATCGCTGCTGCGGAGTTCGATTTAACTTGGGGCCGAGATTGACACCTGCGCTCGCGGATATTAAGCAGATCGTGTAACGATCGATTTCGGAAATGTAAATCCGCAAAGCGCCGCGGCTGCTTGATACCCGCGACCGAGCGTAACTCGTGTCGGTTAATATGCGGAGTCCCGATCGATCATCGATCGACAAGATCGCAATGTAATAATTAACCGGCTGTAGTCCGACGTTAAGATATTATATATATTGCTCGCCGTCCTTTTTATTAAGAATAAAAGAAAAAGAAAACATCGATCGCCTCGAAATATCGGCAACTATTATTTGAAGGAAAGAAACGCCTGCCATACTTCGTCCCTTCTGTTCAGCGACTTTGCATGAACGCCAGACTCAACTTTACTCTCTCCTCTCTATAATCAAAGAAGTTCGCACATATTAAGCAAGGTAATTTCACTTGTGTTTATCACATGCAATGATATAATAACAAAGTTTCTCTAAATGTTTCTTCCTTACATAATTTTTATAAGTCCTTAAACTGAGCGTCGTGTTACATTGCACAATCATCGAAGTCCATATATGTCCCGTAGTATCTGTGTTTAGAAGAATTAATTTCATTGGAAAACAATTCGACAAAATTTTATATATAACCCTTTGATTGAAATCCTCTGGATGTGGGTAGACATTTGAGACTACACGTATTCGAAACGAGATGCGAATTTTAATTACTGATATAGAATATGAGAGATCTTTATTATACATTAATTTTTTTTTTACATTCCTAGTATACGTACTCGTGTAAAACAGTGATTGTCCTGCATGCCAACAGTTAAAAGGGGGTAAAACATTTTAACACGTTCGCGCTCCTCTCGTAATGTTGCCGGGTACATCGTCAAATTGCAACTCGTCTTCGTTAAATTACACGCGAAATTGGTGGAATGTGGTAAATTGCGCCATGTACGCTTATGGTTATCCGTACCGGTTGGACTCTACGTGACACAATTAAAACCCTTTTCCCCTCTCCCGCGTATCTTCCGCCCCCTCGCTCTCCCCCGAAACGAGGTCACTATCGTTCTCTGTCGAAATACGCGTTAATTTCCAGGCGGTATTAATTTCTGTCGGCAGCATTGAATTGATACATTCGGCGGAACGTACAAATCTCAATTCCAGCTGAAAAAACTGACCGTCGAACGATTCAGTATTACAAAAAGACTCCCTATAGAAAGGATCCGTCCAGCTTTCCGGCGGATCACGCGAAATTATTTATTCTCCCTCGCTGTGTTGCGATATTCCTATGTACCTACGCGGCTTAACAGTAAGTTATTACTTATATCTTAAAATTACGGTGTTGGTAACGTTCTCTTTCGTTTGGGCAGTTTCGAGGTCGGCGATGCGCTTCCGTTACGATCCCGAAAACGTCCAAATGGGGTTTCTAGGTCATTATTTAAGTACGCGACTTAGCGTGTAGTTGTGTATCAACTTTATGTAATATACCTTTGTACAGTATGTGAATAAATATATACAGGGTTTTGTTTAGCTGCGCTCTATCCGTCACGTACGTTCTTCACAATACTTTTACAGGCGCTTTAATTTTTTTTTATTAATATCTTTCATTTTAGAATACTATTCCGCAGTGTGTGGCAGTTTGCTATACCAACATTATTAGAAAAAAGTACACGTGTTACACTTATTGCATTAAAATATATTCTAAATAATTTATTACATATTAAATTTGTTTCTTATTAAAATGGCATTTCGAAGATATGTATATTACATGGTTTAATTTTGCGATTATAATAATGTGATTCAATATTTTTATGTTGCACGTAGATCACTTGTGCACGACGTATTATATTATTAAATTGACAATAAGTGCAATCAGTTAATTTACAATACTTTCTGTTAATTTCAAGAGCTTTATTACTTTTGGTGAATCATTCGCCATGATAATTTAAATTCGCCGAAGAGAAAACATCATTACCGTCGAAAGTAGAACGCGAGCTATAAATTTTTAAACAAGTCATTTACACTTGATATATGTAGATCGCCACAGATGTCAGCGCGGCAACATGTTAATAACTCACGCAGACTAACGAGCGTCATTAACGCGTTTTTGCTGCGGGTCCTCGGAAGAACGAGGATGGAGAAACGGTTACGGCCGTCAACGATTGCACAAACACCCAGAAAACAAGAGGAAGGTCCTTCCTCTTTGTCTTCCTTCTCGTGCGTGTACCTTGACATCCGTATACGCGTATATAAGTACACGGGCGCACGTTCTGGAATCCCGCAGTCCGCGAGTACGAGAGGCTCTCGGATGCCGCGATTTTTAAAACGAATTAACGCGTATTTCGCAATTGACAGATATGGACTTAACGGCGTCGTAAAAGAATAGCGATGAGATTTCCGTAACGCGTCATAAAACGCCCGAGAGAATACGCGTACAATTTCAATCGACCTAATGAAGAAACGCGAGAGAAAGAGAGAGAACTGAGGATCGTGGAAAAGACTCGCTCTCGGGTCGGAGGCCATTGCACAAATGGCTGATTAATATTACTAAGGACGTACGCTTACCGCGGATCGTAAGCGTCATGAGCAGGATGTCGGATCTTCTGTTACATGGAACGTTACAAAACTATCTTACAAGGACGACACTTTTTCGCGTTACGTTCGATCGCCCCGTGGCTGTTGTCAGAAGCGTCGACAGATCGCGAAACTTTGAGAGAAGAAAAATATGACGAGGATATAGATAACTGTGGGAAAATAATTCTGCAAATATTTTCTTCGTATAAATAAAACAAATGTTACTCAATATTTTTCCAATTTATATTTTCGTAGCGTAGCTATGACATTTTTTTTTTAGTAATCTACAAATGCTATATCAATAGCAAATATTTTTTCAAAAATATTTGCGATTTTATTAGTGTTTAAATTAACTTTTATTAATGAAAATAATTAATTGAAAATTTCAGACCTTCTCTCATTGATTAATTACTTCTTGTATTAGTTCGGCAATTTAGAGAAAAAATTTTTCTGATGGTAATTGCAAACGTAAATCAATATATGAAAGAACTGTATCTAAGTTGGCCAACTTTTCAGGCATGGAGTCTTTCGGATTCAGATACCTCGTGGCGCAACTTTTTGCCTTCGCTACAATGCGAATGGACATCCGCCTTCAGCAAGACCGAGATCGATTCGCCGCCTCGACGCAACATATTCAAATTAATGTCCGGAGATCGGTATCCGAATGAAGAGTTACAAGAGGCAGGAAGAAGATCGTTACTCCTTCAACATCTTGCTTTTTCCGTAAATGTAAATGAAACTACCTGATAATTATACTTAAGCGAATATCATATTCACTCGCAGAAATGTTTAACACGATGTAAAGCCGATGATAAATTTATAGTGTGACTTTCTTTACTTTCATAAAAAATCTTTCTCTTTTTCTTTCTTTTTTTGGAATTTATGTATTATATGTTACGTTACCAAGAAAGATTTCTTTATATAACTATAGCCTGTCAAGATCATCTTGAAAAATCTGTTAGGGACAGACCGTTCAGATAGTCGCAAATGCACTTAAAATAACGCTGCAAGGGACGTGCATTTAGATACTATCGCGCGAGATTCAAGTAATAAATAATGATAGTCACTATTGAATAGTAATTTGGCCCACGTAATGGGCGATAACGTCGTGCCAACATGCGCGAATCTCGATGTCTGATGGCGACGATAAATCACAAGCCGATTCTCGGCGACACTGTGGGGGGAAAAAAAACTCCATATAAAATGAGCAGAACTGGAGCGATATATAATCTGGATTTGTCGCGCGAGACAGATTTGGAAATCTATTTGCGAGAAGGCCAAGATTATCTATTTCCCTTGGAATGACGTTGACTCGTGTCTACATTATACGTTGACCTAGTCCTTTTTCGAACGGATTAAAACTTGCGTAAGCATTTCGCTGCGTAACAAATGTACACGCTTTCGAGAAACTTAAGTATTGTCTAATTCTTTCTTTCCTATAGAAGTTACTGTTTACTGTTTATTATGGAAGTTACTATTTACTAACGAATTTATTATATTCAGCATCTTTTTCTCGAAAATCAAATTCTTTTTTTCTATTTCTATTTAGCATTGCTGTGCCGTTTTTAATCGGTATCAAAAAGTTATCGAAATAGAAAGTCGGTATAAAAAAAATTTTACATTGCTTATAAAAATTTAAATTGTGCGTCTCGATCAAAGATGGTATAAAAAGTTTTATCTGTATTTCTCAGGTTTGCCATATTTTGAGCCTTTGTCTTTGCTTAACAAAGATTTAAATATGAATAAACCTCGGCAGATTTTTTCGACACATTCGAACGAATTTCAGATGATTCCCATTGTACAGCCTAAACGGGACATCTGGGATCGAGGCCGGTCCGATTCCGAACGTGGATCTCCCTCTGTCTGTACAATTATCTTCGCGCTCTACTGGTGAGGCGGTAAAAGGTCGCGGTTGATGCAATCGGCCACGATATACTCTGCGGAGTACGCGGTTAGATTACGGCGCGTGTTGGCCAATTGCCAGAGCTCAATTAAGGCTTTTTAATTTTACGAGCGCTTATCGGCCGCTCGTAACGTTAAGTAGTGTGTGGATTATTGTTTAAATATGGATCGTTGATTCTGGAATTGTGCGCGCTTTAAATGCTCACCGACGTACTCGTGTAAACGCACATACTTCACGTGATAACCATGTAAGAAACGTCGACAATTACGATATACTATTTACGGGCGCGCACCAAAGAGAATGGGGAAAAAAGATATTAGTAATAAGCAGTTAAAGATACTAAGAAATCTTTTTACGAAGAAAAGGAACGCAAGATATGTGTTTGAAGTAACTATCTCATTTTTTACATTTTAAATTATTTCATCTTTTTTTTTTTCAAAGATCTCTCTCTCGAGTTTGATCTTTATACCGCGATCTTTATACCGAACAGTATATCGACACGCGCATATATATTGCCCTAAAGATACTAAAGCTCGACTAATTTTTCATTTAACATTCTCATGCTCGTCGCATTCATCGCGTGTTAAGTGAACCAAAAGGTTAGAGCTTGCTAACCGGCTATTACACTTAAGGATACATTATTTTTTAGATAGAAAGATTATGATTTACATTCCTATCGATCACGGAGGAATTATCGGTTTTAACCAGTATTTTACTCAGCGAGACGTATACGCTTTTAAACTGGTTGAAAAATTGCCACGACAAATAACGCTAATCGTTTCTCCTCCACAGAATTATGTTAACATTCACATCGAGTTGTTTGCCTTCTTCACAGAAAAATACACAACCGGGGAAGTTTCTCTATAAGAGCTACATCGTATATGTTATCGTATACCATTATTCGATTGTTTAAAAAATTAATTTTAGAGGCTTTTATAATGAGGGGCTTTATAACACGGGGTTGCCAAATTACGATAAAGTTAGTTCTAACTATGGTATTCGCGTTGAATCGAACCGAGAAGCAATATCGGAATATTAATAATGGTAATCCGGCGGCTCAATTATGCGCCTAAATGATATACCTATACTTTACCAATGGACCATGCACGTGCCATTTCTCCGGCGAGCGAATTACCGAACGCTTTCACCGCGCCAGTACTTGTTGCATACCGATTCGGATCGCTGCCTCTTTTTAGCACTGATGACACGGTGTGTTACCGAATCTCGGGCAATCTCACTGTAGAAAGAAAAAAAATACGAGTTGGGGGGGGGGGGGAATGATGCTAGAGGTCACGCGCGGATGAGGTAACGGTGCAAGGCGGCAATTAACCCGTGATCGTGGAGTCGCTCTCTTTCCTCGACCACTTTCGTCGAAACGCGGATGCGGCCGGGCGATTCGTCTACTTTGCGTATATCGAGAGGTGAAATGAGGCGTATTTTGCGCGTTAGCGCATTCCCCGGCAGCTTCCCCTTCGTGATTACACCTCGCGCGAACGAGGTGTATTTCACATAGAGGAGATTCGCGCCCCACCGTACGTTTAGCGCCGAATAACGCCTGTCTCACTTACTCGGCCCATGGTAACCCAAAGGCTGGGCATTCACGTCTTCTAACACACATGGGAAAACATTCCGAGCGCACGGTTTGCTCAATGTAAGCTAAATAGAGAAAGCTAGCGTAGTAATAATAACATCGCGATATGAACGAGTGAAGTTTTATTTATAACGGCAAAAATACATATACAAATAATAATTAGAAACGCACGGGCTCTTATCCGGTGCGATCTCTTATTCATATAAAGTCAACAATTGGCTGGAAACAATTGTATCAAACTGACGTTCCCAATTTAGCAGAAGATAAGCGCGTATAATTCCACAGAAAGATAAGCGTAATCGAATACTCTTCTCGCTTTAATAATCAGATTAAACGTCCCCCCCCTATCTCGGCATCGGGGAAATAAATCAAGTCGCGCCAGCTGGCTTCATTTCAGTAATGAAATTAGAGGCTTCCGACGCGCGCATAGAAGAATAAACATCATCCGACATCCCTTTCTCTTGAATGTGATTAAAAAAGAGGATCCTTCCACCGGCATTATCCTGGCCGCGTCATAATTTATGCGAACAACGGCG